CTAAAAGTGAAATCCGAACCTGCCGCTAACTTGTGTTTCTAGGTCTATGCGGATGCTACCTTGGTATTCCCGTTCATCGTTGCAAACACCTTTGCCAAAGACCGTTCCTCATAGATGCCAGAAAAGAATGAGGAAAATCCAAAGCGCTTCCGATTTGATGCTCGCTATGCACCGCAACTTCAACCTTACAGGAGGATTATTGCCTCCTTCACCATCGGCTTGAAACTTTTGATCCCGCTTACTCGTGTGTGTCTATTCGTCCTTGTGCTGGTGTTCTAGGAATCCTACTTGCCGCTTTCCGTTATTGTCTGTCCCAAAGGACGCAGTAGCAGCGCTTTGCAACAGCACACAACTATATTGGTTAGACATTGCTCATGGGAGACACCAAAAAAATTGACTGTATTGTCGTAGACACGTGGGGCATTTCTTGTTGATATGATGGTCGGTGTCCCGTGAGTGCTGTACTTTCGACAGTAGTTGAAGGAGCCGTTTAGGCGTTTCGGGTAGATGTGTTGCTTGTTGAATAGGTAATTGCGGACTCTATCCTCGAGGTCGTCTACCGTACCCGCCTCCATAGTGCCCTTGCTGCCTACGTACATTCCAAGGGGCGAGATCTATTCCTCGCGTGAAATGTCCATACAGCACTGTCTTCCAGGGAGCGATATTACCCAAACTTTCCTATTACTTCCCAAGCCTTTTGCGAAACACGACGAAAGTGGCTTCGTCAGAGGCCATATTCTCACAGATATAAGATGATAACCCGTCAGTAGAGAATGCTCTGCTCTGGGTGCGTCAGTCCTCCTGTGGGTCATAAAACCGCCTCAACGGGTAGATGAGCGCATCATCTATCCACTCTGCATAAGCTAAAGCGCGAATATCACTAGGTACTGCCAAAACAAGTAGCGCTTGACACTAGACTTGGACTCGTTGTTCATCTGAACACATCCTAGTGATCCGAAAAAACGAACTTGGAACACTCGTCAGGCTCGATGTGGGTGTATCGGCGATGCTCAACTTAGACACCCAAAGTCACTACCGATAACCAAGAATGTGCGTATCGACAGACGTCCATAGTTACTTGCTGCCCAGGCAAGTTTATTAACTCGGCAGCTTCTCCGAATGGCCCAAGTCAATGGACCAGAACCAAGGAAGCGGTACCGAACGGGATGACGTTGGTAGACACACGTGATCGATCTTATCGATAAGAGTTACAACGTGCGAACAAACATGGGTGGCTCAAGAAACTTTGGAATGCCATGGTTGCATCCACCCCCATCTCCACGATTCCGCGTTGCATATATCAGCCTTCTCTTCCTTCGTTGTTGCTCTAGCAGGAAGTCCGATTACAACAGGGCTTCGTCGCGGCCGGCCACGATGTCGGCCATTTACAACCTCGAGCCGCAACCGACGGCGTCCGTCATCCTGCACACCACTCTAGGCGACATCTCTGTCGAACTTTTCGCGAAGCAAACGCCACTCACTTGCCGTAATTTTCTCCAGCTGGCCCTCGATGGCTACTACGACAACACTATTTTTCACAGACTCGTACCGGGATTTATATTGCAGGGCGGTGACCCGACAGGAACAGGTAACGGCGGCGAGTCGATCTACGATGGAGGCGCATTCGGCGGCGAGCTGGATCCGTGGCCGATGGATGAGCGACGAGGTCATAACGCCGGCCCGACGGGCATCGGCTTCAAGGACGAGTTTCATTCAAGATTGAAATGGAATCGGCGTGGCCAGCTGGGAATGGCAAACGAGAGCAAACCCGACACGAACGGCAGCCAGTTCTTCTTCACGCTCGACAAGGCGGAGGAGCTGAACAACAAGAATACTCTGTTTGGTCGGGTGGCCGGCGATACGATCTACAACCTGGCGAAGATGGGCGAGGCCGAAGTGACCCCAGGCACCGACAGGCCCACGTATCCTGTCAAGATCACGAGCATCGAGATCCTCGTCAACCCGTTTGAGGATATGGTGAAGAGATCGAGAGTCGCGACCCAAGCCCCGAAGACGGTTCCCGTCGAGAAGAAGAAGAAGAGAAAGGGCGGGAAACAATTGCTGAGCTTCGGAGACGACGAGGGAGATGCTGAGGAGGTCCCGGTGCTAAAAAAGACAAAGTACGACACGAGAATAGTGATGGACGTTGATGATGAAGAACCAGCCGAGACGAAGCCGGCTAAAGCCAAGTCGAAACACAAGGCAAAAGTTGAAAAAGTTGGCACCCCGGAAACCCAAAGTCGCCCGGGCCCCGAGCCTGCCGAGGAGCAGAAGACAGCATTGCCGAAGGAAATCTCACCGGACGAGAGCAAAAGGGACATTCCTATCCGGCTCCAGGAGTCACCACCGCCTGAGCCCGAGGTCCGGAACACCAAGTCCGCCCTTGAGAGGACCAACGAGGAGATTGCAGCGTTGAAAGCCTCGATGAAACGGAGCTATCAGCCCGAACCGGTCAAGGAATCAAGGAAATCAGCACTAGAAAGCATGATTCCGGAAACATCAATTCGAGGCAGGAGGAGAAGGCCCGGCGGCAATGGGAACCCGCGTGATGATCAGCAAGCGCTTGATTTTCTGAGGGCTTTCAAATCAAAGCTGGAGCAAGCTCCGGAGGGGAAAAGCAACGGAGCCAGTTCCGTCGATGGCGACGTGGCTACCAGGGAGGAAAAAGCAGGGGATGAAGAGGCCGAACTTTGCGATCTGCACTTTATTGCCGATTGTCAGAGCTGTAAGGCGTGGGATCAGGCCGCCAAGGAAGATAGCGACGACGAAGGGTGGATGTCACGCGCGCTCAGCTTCAAGGCGGATAAGCTGGGTAAGGACCTCAGTTATCGCAAAAAGGCTGAGCAAGAACTGGTGGTGATCGATCCCAGAGAGAAGGCCCGGACGCTGCAGGAAGAGAAGAAAGCCTCGAGAGAGGCCCGGAGCGGAAACTCCGGGCGTGAATGGGACAAGGCACGGAACTCGAAAATGGCACGAGCGTCGGCTCTCGCGGGGAGAGGAGCCAGGTAGTGTAGAGAGAGAGAGAGAGAGCATTAGATCCATTGACAAGGATGAACTGCGAGCCGGTAGGCATAGTTACAACAGCGCAATGATACCCCCCGTCCCCCGTCCCTCCCTGAAAGAGATCGAAGATGAGTCTCTCATAAGGTTTCGAGGTTGCGTTAGTCGGTGTAATTCCTTGATGCTATTCAGACAGTAATAATTGGACTGGGCCCATGTTGGAAGGACTGAGATCGAAAAATAAGCTCGTCATCGGGGAAAATGACGTTTGCCAAAACGAAGCTCCCCACTGCCCCCACATGCTTCATCGAGATGGTCTCAAGTGAGGGCGGGTGTCGCCGAGGAGAAAACGGCAGTTCAGCCGAGTCCAGACCCTTGATTGGGGTGCACGTCTGTATAAGTGTAGGTACACATGGCTGACTGGGTGGGAACACGTCCCCTAATTTGGGACACTGGAGTCACCCAAGTCAACAGCCAGCCACTGTTTTGCAGCGGTGCATGCTCCGGCACCGAGGCACTGAGATGCCTCCACGTACCACACCTGGCAGCGGTCTGCACTGCTTACATAACCATCTGCACGTGACCATGCTGGTGAGCCTGCGCCTCTTTCCGAGTTTTGATTGGACCGGACGATCTGTCCCGTCCTCAAGGGACGTGATCCCGACCAGTCAGTCCTACACTACGACCACGGCGCTGTTGGAACGGGGGTTGTCTGATGGGGCTTTCCTGATGGGGAGAGTATGCAGGCGGATGTGCTTGGAGTGCTGTCTCCACTCGGAACCGGATTCAGCCTTGGGCCTCCAGTACTGTCCCGGGTTGATAAACATTGATAACAGAAGCATACCATCCCACCACGTTCGGGCCAGAGACAACAGCTTCAGTTCCAACCCGACTCTGACTTACTTAGAAACGAATCTTTTCCCTTTTGCCTTTAACGGCGCACTTTTTTTTTGTTGTATCACGTCTGTCTACAGGTGTCTCAAGTGCTACTAGGCCAAGAGAGAGAGAGAGGGAGAGACGTTGTTTCCTGTAGCTTCCTATTACCAAGACAGACATTCCATTATCCAACCCCACCACACAAAAAAAAGTTGTGTGAGAGGGAGACGCGCTATAACGCCCGCAGCCAACGGTCAGCACAGCACTGAGCGCTGCGCACCACCTCCTCAAGCACACAACCTCTGCTGGCGCCTAACGCCTTGCGCCTTGCTTGCTTGAGTCCTACCTCACCTCGAATTACCTAACCACGACCTCACCTTTTCCACCAAAAGAAGCGGAACTTGCCATTCAAAGCTTTCGCAGCCGCATCCTCCGCCATCGAGACAATCCCAACCCTGCGCCGAAACCCACACCCGACCGACCGCGACAAGGACTCCTTTGCCGGCCTATCGTTCCGACTATTGTTGTCAGTGTCTTCCCTCCACAATAGACTTCCTTTGCGAAAGCTTCCGCCGCACTCCTGACGATTGAGTCAGGCCCCCAGCCTGCCTTTCAATCCCCTACCGTCACATAGAGACGGAGTCACGGACGGCGACTAGTAGACGACGACACCGACGACGTATATAGGCCCGCGGCCGTGCCCATTCACCACGCCCTCCACCCAGCGCGACTTTCCGGCGACGACGTTTCCCCGATTCCAACTAGTCCCGGTTTTGCGCATACAATAAGAGCCTATCCGATCCCATCGGCGCCATCCCGAACCTTTTTGTCTGTCGTTGCTTCCCACTATTGATAGCCGCCTTCAGCACGCGGTTTGTCTGCCCTCGGCGAGGCTGTACACGGCAGCCTACAGCTTGCCTCCACCCACCAACAAACGAGCCTTACTGAGTAGAACGTCTCCGCGGTTGCTATCGCATTCGTCTCGAGGCTCTGCTTAGCCGGTGACCGGGCCGATACAAAACGGCCTTCTTTGCCTCAGCACCTACCCACTCACATACATGCATATTCCCAAGTCTTCCAACACTCGAAAGCGACCAGCGCCAGGAACCGCACCCACCATGCCGATGCCCCAAGTGCAACAGCCCCCATTTCCCAGTCCAACGGGTGACCAGTTCTTGCGATGGGGAGGAGCGGCGGATGCAAATGGCCTCGTTGAGGGAACCGGGGCCCCGGCCATCAGTCCGTATGGCATTGTCCCTGGCCAGCAACCGCCGTTCGTGCAGCCTACACCAAGCCCTAATACTGCCCTTGCACGGAGGCAAATAAACAGAGCGCTCGTTCCCACTGGCGTGAGGCAGAACTTCGACCCGCCAACTGACCCTTGGTCCTTTGGCGGTGAAGACTCTGCACTCCTGCAGCAACAAGCAAACGGAAACATGGCCGACACCGACAACATCGAGGTCTTGGAGGAGATGGCCCGGAAAGCCATGAGAGAGGCACAGCAGAAGCGGAAGCAGATCCCGCCCTTCGTGCAGAAATTGAGCAGGTCAGTAGGAAGCTCCACCTTTCAAACACGCCATGAAGGCGCCTTTGGGAGGCGGGGAAATCGCAAACAAGACCCCGCATACTGACATGTGCTCAGCTTCCTGGACGATGACAAGAATTCGGAGCTCATTCGGTGGTCCGAGAAAGGCGACTCGTTCATCGTCCTCGACGAGGATGAGTTTGCCAAGAAGCTGATCCCGGACCTCTTTAAGCACAACAACTATGCTTCTTTCGTACGGCAGCTCAACATGTACGGTTTCCACAAGCGTGTCGGCCTGTCGGACAACTCGATGCGCGCAAGCGAGCGTAAGAACAAGAGCCCTAGCGAGTACTCGAACCCGTTCTTCCGACGAGGTCACCCGAACCTCCTCTGGCTCATTAACAAACCCAAGGGCGGCAACAAGGGCAAGAAGGGCAACAAGAACGCCGAGGTCGAGGGCGACAGCGAGGAGGATGCTGTCATTACTGAAGAGACAGTGAGCCAAGGCTTCGGGGCTACCGGTGCCCCTGCCAGCAAAGCCTTGCCATCCTCTGGCGACATGCCTCTCCAGAAGAAGGAGATGGTGCTGATTCGCGAAGAGCTGGCCAAGGTGCGGGAGCAACAACGGATGATCATGACGGCCATTCAACGGATCCAACAAGATAACTCCGCGTTGTATCAGCAAGCCGTAGTTTTCCAGAGCCAGCACGATCGCCACCAGAACTCGATCAACGCCATCTTGAACTTCTTGGCCAATGTCTTCAGGAAGACACTTGAGGACCAAGCAGGACCCCAAAGTGTCAACGACCTTCTGGCGAGCATCATCCCGAACAGCAATAGCGCCAACTCGGTTCCGCAAGGAAGCGTCGTCGACTTGGGTGAATACGTGCAAACAGCGCAAAACTCGGCCAGTAACAAAAACATGAACCTTGCCAAGCGCAGGCATGCGATTCTGCCTGCCATGCCAAATGGACGTACCAACACAGTCTCGCCACCTCCGGCTGCCGGTTCATCCACCCCTCAGCCGTACAATCGCGAAATGGGCACGGTTACGGAGCTATACGATACCCCCCCTGGCGATCAGACCTCGCCCAGCAACTATCTGGCGCAAGAGCTCGAGACCAATCCCCACGAAAGCATGATGAAGATCATCCACGATACCAACGCCAACAACTCATCCGGCATTGACCTCCCTCACGTCGTCAACAACACGCCTGCAACGATGAGCAATGACCAGCGGAACAAGATGCTCAACGCAATGGCTGGTCGGTCAGCAACACCCTCCACAAATGCTCCCCGGTCTGCCAACCCCTCAGTCTCGGCCTCTCCCAATCCGCCCGCACCATCAGTCATCGCAACCCCCGAGACGCCGCCTCCTGTGCCTGCCACTTCGGGTCTTTCACTTTCGCCCATTATGGGTTCCGCCGCGCCGCCACCTTCACTGCAGCAGATCAACTTCAACCAGGAAGATCTTGCGGCTCTGCATCGCATGCAAGAAGAGCAGGCCGCTAAGCTGGACCACCTCTCGAACATGCTCGGGCCACTCAGCCCGTCGGGTCGCATACCCGGCATCAGCGAAAATGGAACCGTGAACGGCTACTTTGACGGCGATCTAGATATTGATCAGTTCCTCAATCCCGACGCTTTCCAGGGCGACAATGCCTACCCCGGCGTCAACTTCAACGGTGACGGGAACGACTTCAACTTCACTCTTGACGGGTCTGTCCCTAACAACGGCGGCACCAACGTCAACAGCACGCCGAGCTCTACCGCAACCGAGGATGTTCCGCGGAATGATTTGGACGGGCTCAATGGAAGCCCCGGCCGCGGTACCAAACGGCGACGGGTAGGCTAATGACTGATGAAAGGAAGGACTATCTGTCTACTGGTATTTTTACATGGCTTTCCTTTTGGGCAGCACCAAACGGTTTGGTGAACGGTCTTGAATCATATTTTCCTAATGACACAAAACGGCGGTGGGCATTTTGTTTTCTTCCGCTTTTTATCCTCTCCCGTTTCTGGCAGATGTTGGGAGGCGGTTGGTTTCGTTGCTTGCGTGGGAAGAGCATGATATCCAGAAAAAATTGCAGTTTTTTTTTCTCTTTTCTAAATTTTTTTTTTTTTCATCCTCTTGCTAGTCTGGGAACAAGGCGGGATTTTGGCAAAGGGGGGAGGTGGGGAGTTGCGTTGAGGGAAACAAACACACAACAACATGTATGCCCCTGATGAGCGAGCAAGTGGTTCGCTCGCTAGACTCTCAACTCAGGCACGAGTGAGATGAGAATAAAGCACCCCGGGACGGTTTTTCCCTGTAGAGCTAGACTTGCCGCTTCTGGTGATAACTCTCTCAATGCCGATCTTAATCAACGAGGCATGCCTGCCTGCCTGGGTCGAAAGTGAATTGCCATGGTTTGTGTGATGTGGCCGGGAAAGCACTGATTGGTCGAGTGCGAACTCACTTTGTTCGTTCGTCAACATTCGGGCATGAAACGACATCAGACATTGAGGGCACTGGGATCGACTATGGCCGGGCACGCCGCACGGCCGTGTCGTCATTGTTACTTCACAAAGGGCGACGACAGTCGAGGTTCGTAGGCGAAATCATCACCATCTGCGACACCTGTGACGACTGAAGTTGTAAGGGGAGAGGGGATAAACGGCCAGGGGGGGGGGGGGAGGGGGCTGACGCGATCCTGATTCCTCTTCTTGCATCATCTTGACGGGCTTTCCAGGCCGCTTCAAACGACATGTGGGGCTTGCAACGAATACCTAACACTACATGGCTACGTAAGAATCCGGTCAGCCTTGACGGCTGTTCTGGCCGCCTGAGCGGATCAAGGTTCGCCGTTGCAGATACCGAAACCCGAAGAGCCGTTTGCAGTCGTTCCTCCTTTCTCGGCCAGACCATTCCCAAGGTTCTATCATCCCAGAGCGACGGCAGCAGCGGCGGCGATATGGTACGGTAGGGTATGGTAAGGGTGGGGTGAGGGGTTTGGGTTCAACACGGGGTTATATCATCGGCGGGTCATCACGGGGATGCTTTGATTCGCTCGGCGGGCGTCCTCAGCGGCGAGAAGAATGTCGCCCCCCTCCCCCCGGGGCGCTCGCATGAACGCGTCGATACAGAGGCTTGCCGGGAGGTGAGTAGGGGAAGGTCGTCGAAGATTGAGAAGCAGGAGCCGGCGAGCATCGGCGGGCTGTAGTCGGTGACGTTACTGTGACCATGGCTTGACGATTGCATCGCCCCTCGCCGGTGATGGCTTGGCAAATCGTCGACGTTGCTCCAACTTTGTTTTTGTTTTCCCCGCCCAGAGATGTGTCATGTCTACAGCTCGTCAATATAATACGACCCTCGATGAGGCGAAGTTGACGTACGGGTATCATGCAAGCGGCGAAAAAGTCCAAGGGGGCCGCTCCTTCAGTCTCCTTTAACTCATGTAATCCCCCAGATAAACAGTCTTCAGGTCGGCCTCCTCAGCCAGCAAGCGGGTTCGCGTGGACAGTAACCCTCTCGATCTTTATGGGCTCCTTGGGCCGGTTCTTCCGGTCGACCTCGACGGCCTCGATCCGATCCAGCGTCACCATGGCCTCGTCGCCGATGACGCGGCCGAACACAGTGTTCAGCCCGTCCAGGTGGGGCGCCTTGTCGAAGAGGACGAAGAACTGCGATCCGTTGGTGCCGGGCCCCTTGTTGGCCATGGAGACGACGCCGCGCGCCGAGTGCTTCAGCGCGGGCCGGATCTCGTCCTCGAAGGTGCCGCCCCAGATGGAGCGGCCGCCCTTAGGGTTGTCGGGCGGGGAGGGGTTCGCGGGGCCGCCGGTCTGGGCCATGAACTTGGGGATCAGGCGGTGAATCGGGGAGTCGTCATAGTAGTGCGACGCGCAGAGGGCGAGGAAGTTCTGCGCACGTTGTTGTGGTTAGTATTTTCTGCGGCGGTGGGATATGTGTGTGAGACAGCTGCAATTTGGGAGGGGGAGAAGGGGAGGGGAGAATGTGCACGCATGCTTGCCTCTGCTGTCTTGGGGACGCTTTCGCAAAAGACTTCGATCTTTAGATCGCCCAAGGTCGTGTGCAGTGTGACGGACATCTTCCTTCGTCTTTTCTGGCTTACCGGGATCGCGAAATCGAGATCGAATCGTCTGGACGGACGTTGGACGACTTTAAAGCATACGCCTGAATCGCAGACAGCCTTGGTGCTGGAGCTGTATGCGATCCAGACTTCCCATTGGACCAATCCAGATGTGGCGTAGGGCGGTGTGGGGGCTTGAGGTCATCGGGTAACTTTGACTCAGAACACTCTACGACAATCACTACGTATAAGCTTGATCCTACGACAGCAAACAACGTACCGGTAAGGAACTGTACATAAAGCTAGCAATGGCCACCTTGCCTTGGCATCGGACTCTTGCGGTTTTCTCGTCTGCTGTTCGAGTGCGTTCCCATCGTTCGTCCTCATCGTTTGTCTTCATCGTTTGTCCTCATCGAGCGAGCATTGTATGGTCTTGTTTTGAGTTTATCTCTATGCCTAGTGGCCCGTAATCGGTACCTCAAACTCCTTGATGTTAAGGTTTTTTGGAAGCCCATCATGGTAGGGGCCAAGTTCTGGCCCAAATACCGGCTCGTGTATGACGCGCGGGGTCCACGAAACCGGGCGAAATAGCGGAAGACATAAACGCCGCGTCCGCCGTTGATCTCGAGGCTACTTGCTGTCCTGCGGCACGTCCGTGAGCTCTCTGAGCCATCAACTCTACTCGGGAGAATGTTTCAAGCGTGTTCGGCGAGCTCGGGGTCTGTGTGTGGCGCGGCCAATCTCCTCCTCCCTTTGCATTTTGCCGATAGGCGTCCGATGATTGCGTGTCTTAGCGGGGCGAGGTGTGTTCAGGAAGCCCGCGGCGACACCGTCCAAAGCTGCCTGGAAAACTGCTATCGTAGTTGTATTACATAGGCCCTTGCTTAGGACGATGACGAGATTCTAGGGGCGCGCGCGCACAACGCCATTTGGGGACGGCCGGTCTGGAAACATGCGGCGGATTATTGTATATAGGACTAACGTGCCTTTGAGCTTAATTAGACAGGTCGATTCTCCAGAATCCGGTGCAAAGTGGGCAGTAATACAAACAAAGAAAGCATGACATTTGTCGATTTCATTCGAGACACGACCGCATGGAAGGTGGCTCGCGTAGTAACGAGAGGGAGATCTCCTGCGTTCCAGTACTTTGACGAGCGATATCCTTTGATACGCCGACGTTACATGGAAAGGAATTCCAATCCAAGTAGCTCTAGGTGAGTGTAAATACAGGCTTGCAGTATATGGGGGAAAGACAGTCTAACGTGGCGACTCTCGATGTCAGATTATCCTATGTGTCGAGGCATACCGAGGCCCAGGGTTTCTCATCAGACTCTGAAAAGGGCATAAGCAACACCTTTTCCAGCCAGACGATAAGCCGCACGACGTGGGAGAAGTATGGGATCGAGAACCGCACGGGTCTGCATCTCGTCGAGTTCTTGCCAAACGATCCAGAGGTACTTATGATGGCGTTCCACCCACCCCGTTCACTCGATTGCTAAGTCAAAAGGGCAGAATCCGCGAAACTGGTCCGAATTGAAGAAGATCCTGGTAAGTTTTCAACTATGCCTTCTCGTCGTCGCTGTGTACGCGGGAGCGTCCATCTACACCGTTGGTATCCAAGGCGTCCAGGAGCGCTTTGGCGTCTCTGAGACCGTCGCCCTCTTGGGGTTGACGGTTTTTGTCCTCGCATACGGACTTGGTGGGGTAAGTACCCATCTTAGCTTTCCCGGCTCCCATACAGCACTGATCGAACAAAGATGGTATGGAGCCCGCTCTTTGAGGTCCCCCGGATAGGTCGAAACTCCATCTTCATCCCCGCCTTCGTCCTCTTCATTCTCGCCCAGGTCCCAGCGGCGCTGGCCACCAGCATCGGCATGCTCCTGATATTCCGATTCATCGCCGGTTTCTTCGGGTCCCCGATCCTGGGGTCCGGGGACGGCATCCTAACGGACATGTATGAATCGCGGAAGCAATTCTACGCCATGATGGGCTTTGCGCTTGTTGGCATCAGCGGGCCTACATTAGGCAAGTCCAAGCTTCGTTCCCGTATGCTGTGTTACTGATCTAACGAGCCGATAGGCCCCATCATTGGAGGTTTCGCGGTCCAGGCCAAAGGATGGCAATGGACTATGTGGATCGTCTCCTGGGCCAGCACCCTCGTCCTCGTACTCCTGGTCTTGTTCCTCCCCGAGACGAGCTCCGAAAATATTCTTTATCGACGGACGATGCGGCTTCGCAGGGTCACCGGCGACCTAGGCTTTGTATGTGAGGCCCAGCTCAAGGCCGACAACACACGGGGCGTTGAGCTCTTCAAAGCGCACCTCATCCGGCCCTTTACGCTGGTTCTGACGGAGCCCGCCGTCTTCTTTCTCACCCTGCACAGCTCGTTCACCTATGGGCTCATGTACATCTGGTTCGAGTCTCTGCCGATAACCTACAAGAAGGTATACCACTTTGACATCGGAATGGCGACTCTTGCTTTGCTGGGTCTTATCGTCGGCGTGCTAGTCGCCATTCCTCCGTTCATACTCTACTACCGGATACGTGTCGAGCCCAAGTACGACCGCAACGGCAAGGTCAGGCCGGAAAAGCATCTCCATCCCGCCATGTTTGCAAGCTTGCTCATACCAGGCAGCCTGGTCTGGTTCGGGTGGACCGCGAGGCCCTCGATCCACTGGGCGGTCCCCATAGCCGGCTCGTCACTCTTCACAGCTGGCGCTATGATAATGTACATTTCTATTCTTAACTACCTTGGGGAGTCGTATCCGAAGCACACAGCTTCCGTTCTTGCCGGGAACGAGCTGTTCACCAGTATGTGCGGAGCGACTTTTCCACTGCTCATTCCGTCCGCGTTCCACAAGTTTGGCGTCCTCCGGTCGAGCATGATCTTGGCCATAGTCGCCATGGCATTCGTGCCTCTCCCCTATGTAATCGCCATGGTAAGAACCCTTCCGGGCGCCGTATATGCGAACGAAGCTAACTGTATGGTAGCGGGGCCCCAAGCTCAGGAAGCGTAGCGCTTACGCTGCGAAAAGATGATGAGATATGAAGGCATGTTGATAGAGGGTGCGAGATGAAGAAGACACGACGAGAGCGTTTTGCCATGTGGCCTTGAGAGAACAACTCGGCAGAGCTACTCAGCGATGCGTTTCTTTTCGACATGCAAAGAGATAGACAGTGAATGATGCGTCCATGCTGCCTAAGATATGCCATGTTCACTGTACATCAACTCTAGACCCCCCTTCGGGTAGCGCAACGGTACGACTTTAGCGTTATTCCCACGTTGCGATCGAACAAGAAGAAGCTGGCTACACGTATGGTGACGTAGAGGGTGATCTTCATCCAGGTGGCACTGAACAATGCTCCAAATCGGTTAGAAAAAGTGCTCCAGTAAGACGGGTTCCAATTGTGTGTTTGGGTGTACAGTCTAAGTTACACGCCAATTAATTCCCATGATCGAGGCTCAAAAACCATGGTGGTTCGTACCATACTGGGTCAGAAGACTCGACTCTTCTTCGCGAGTCTCCCCTACCCCAAGTTGCACTCTTGAGACTGCATTTCCATGTTGCAAAAACAACCCGATTCTGCAACGAACAAGCGATTCCGAAAAGCAATGCAATGAGTCTGATCTGTGCCCTCTGACTGGTGATTGCGACCCTCCCAGCAGATGAGTCCATCTTGGCCGATTTTGAGGCTAGCAGTCGGGATCGAGAGAGTGACTGCCTGTGCCAATCGGGATTCTTGAGTTTTGATGATTCGTAGCATCGCGTTGAATTGGGTTCACATCGGAAGGTATGGTGTCTTGAAGAAAATCAGTAGACGTGACGGTAGTTTGGGTATATTCATCAGGACTCGAAATTGTCTCTTGTCAAACAAAGGATCACTTACAGTAGAAATAAAGCACAAGGAAAGATTGCGTATTGCGGAGGAAGTAAGCGAGAGGTGAGGTCCAGCGGGCGAGGTAGGTTAGAGGTAAGGTCTGGACGGAGAAAGGGCAGATGGGCACGGAAGCGGTAGATGAAAGGTGAAGTAGAGTAGGTGGGAAAAGAGAGATGTTATGAGGAAGGCTTTTGGGAAGAACAAGCCAATGCGAGAATTCAGGGCATTCGCATCTGGGGAAAGAGCTACCCCCTTCCACGACAGAAAAGGACGTTACTATAAGGCCGCTCCTTCCAAACCAAAATCCATAGCCTTCTCATAGAACTGACAACATCCAGAGAATACCAGTGTATTCAATCTGTACCAGGGTAGGTAACTTTGATAAGAAACAAATCAGTTATGATAAGCCACTTCCAATCCTATGATTTGCACTGCAGGTGACCCTGCTTCGCGATATATGCGAATCTCAATTATTCCAAATGTGGTGGTTATTACGAGCACTGGCGTTACCGATGAAATTAAATACCATATTCACCTAATAACATCAACACAGCTTCGATCTGCATTGAGACAGCGAATGAAGTTGAATTGAAGCCGGGATGGAAGGAGCGAGCTCTGTACGAAATCGATATTGAAGATTGGTGTTCCTGTGGAGGATCTTCACCATCCACAAAGGGTGAAGAAAGAAAGGAAAAAGAAAAAGAAAAAAAGGAAGGAACTCTCTCTCTGCCCCAGCTGATGCCTTCAAGTCCCAAGGAAGGAGGAGGAGCAGCACGTGATCCCCCGCACCGAGTCCACACCCGACACACAGCCCCACTATTCCCGGACTTCACGGCCGCGTTGCCGATAAGTCGCCGTGTGCTTTGATTGACTTGCGGCGTAGATGATTTACTACCAAACTGGCTCTGACGCAACATGGTAAATATGCAGAGATCTGTAGATGGTGTGCATTTCTGAGCGGCCTTGGGGAAACAGCGACACGGAAACAGCCCGCCTCATAGAGCTACTGTGGTGTATGTTCTCAATGAGCCTCATATCAGATGTGTCGAGATAGACATAAACGGTCGACTCATCTCTAGAGAATGCTCCATTTCCTCCTTTGCGTTGTCTTCGTTTCATCTTCCTTGCTGAAGGTGTGTTTGTTGTGTGGTTGAGTCGCTCTAAATCCGAGTTCATCTCATGGTTTACGGATACACATGTCATATTGAGAACCATATCCCAGTCCCAAACAAACTCGCACACTCCCCGTAGGCACTCAGCAAATTCGGAATCCGCACAGATCACATTGTAGCCCAGTATAGAAGGCGGTCAGTTATGTGGGCAAGTGAATAAGTAGGTAATTGGATGGGTAAGTTGACCGCCTTCTATATTAGAGCTAGCGTAGGGTCTGTGCGGATTCCGAACTCGCTGAGGTAGTGGGGGCCGTCACTTCCTCATTGGGACTAGCACATATGCTGTTCCGCATTCCTCTCCTTGCCCAACCTGATGTACGAATACAAGGCGGTCCCTCTTGAGTTCGCACAGGTACACAATAGTGACGATACCCTCCTTGCCCAAACGCACCCACATTATCGAAACAACAGCTCCATGTCAACAAAACACCCATCGGCTGGAATGGCTGAGTGGTAATGGCGTGACGTTAGTGTCGTGGAAGTTGTTCTGCAATAGCAGTTAGTAGGAGATTACGACAGGGTAGCGGGGCAAGTGGTTTTGCTTTTGGAGATAGGTGGAAGGAACAATTGTCCAGAGCGGGTAGGCAAGATTCAGTAGGGGCACTCTTGTAGGCACGCAAGCACACACACAACTCCAAAAAACAAAAACAAGGATCATGATGGAGACGAGATTCGAACTCGCGCGGTTTCCCACTGCGGATTTATGGTATCGTGATGATGACCTAAACACAGCACCTTAACCACTCGGTCACTCCACCTGATGGGTTATTGGTTGGTGAAAGCTAGTCGTGTTAATTATATGTAGGGTTGTGTGGGCGGAAGAGGGTTTCCGGTGCTGGGGGAGCGTTTGGGGACAGCATACACACTATTCCGATTACGGTAATGACAATCCCCACTAAGTAAGGCAGGGGAGTATACGGAGTACACCCCACAACACTACCTAATGTGGTGGTTTTTGAGGTAGTTTGCGAGGTAAAACAAGATAGAACAATTGGATAATCACTCTTCCTTCTTCTTAGACTTCGAGGCCAGCTGGCCAGCGATATGTCGACTGCCAAGGATCCCAGATGGCCCTCAGCGGTTGGTCCTGCTGGACCGCATGTCACCTTGAATCCGGATGTGGCTGGATTTATGGTGTTAGCTTTCAGTGGTCCGCAGCCGATCTCAGCACGCTAAACAGTGTAACTCCAATTGGCCAAAGCTTGCAAGCTCCTTTCCTCGCAGCAACCTTGTCCGGTTTATTTTTTCTTTTCTTTTTTTTCTTTCTTTTTTTGGGCCATCTCGACCAGACTCACACCGTGCTGTCTACCTGACTCCTACACCTCCCGCCGAACCGACCGAGATACTGCCGGACATGAACCAAAACTAGGCAAACTCCCCATCGATCCTACGACTATTAAGATATAAGGAACAAGGGAAAGAAACCCAAGCCCGACTGCCAAAGACGGCCGGTATGCCCCTCGACGACGACGACAACCCCACGGCGGCGCCGGCCGCCCAGCTCCAAAATGACTCGGGCGCAGGCGACGAGGCCGAGGACGAAGGGCTCTTCGACATGCGCCTCTTCGCCTCCATGTTCAACAAGAAGGGCGTCGCGAGCCAGGCAGTGCGCAGGGGCCAGAAGGACTTTGAGTCGCACGGCACGCGCGCGCAGGAGGACGCCCTCGAGACGAGCAGACAGGTCATCGAGGAAGTGCTCTCGTACTCGCGCGTGCACCGCGACGCCTGGAGCAAGGGGTGGTATTTCCCCGACTACTGGGCCGAGACGCTGCGGGCCATCGAGGAGGACGGGGACGCATCCGGCCTCGCGAGGCCCGAGTACCTGCAGGAGTTCCTGGCCGAGACGGGGCCGATGTACGCAAAGGAGCGGGTCGTGGTCGTCGAGGACCTCAAGGGCACGCAGGCCAAGTCGATGGGCCGGGTCATCAGAGGGCTCAAGGCGCCGAGGCCGGCGGTCGGGAAGCTGTGGCTACTGCCCGAGGAGGCGCTGTTCCTCGTCGAGAGGGGCAGCCTGGACCTCTGGTGGCCGTTCCGGGAGCTGAAAGATGTCTTGCCGCCACCCTCGGAGGGCAAGGTCGCGGAGGAACACGTGCACGATCCGGAAAAGACGAAGGCGGAACCGGAAGAGGACTCGGATGACGAATTCGAAACCGGCGTGCCACTGAGCTTGCAGGCCGCATACGCCTTCTTCATCGGTCTGGACGGCGAGCGGGGGAAGATCACACTTCCGAAATATCAAGTCTACTCTCACCTCCGGCGGCTGGGATACTACGTCCAGCGCGCGCCACCCGACGCGGCCGATGCCACGCCTCGACAACAGCCACAGCCCGCACGGAAGTCGCTATGGCAGTGGCTCGTCGCCCTTCTGGACAGGCCCGCGCCCACGCCGCCGCCCTACGGGCCCCTCGTCAGGCCGGGCGTCTACCGCCAGTACACCCACGTCTACAAACAGCTGGAGCTCCTGGCGCGGTACCAGCCCTCGCCGGCCGCGCAGGAGCCCGCGTCGCCCAAGGACCCGTACAAGGTGCACTGGCACGTGTGGAAGCCGTCGAAGCACCCGAACCTGCGCGTGACGGACCTCCCGCCACCGGACATCCGCATCGCCGTCGCCGACGCGCGCGACGACGCGGTGCCGTCGTTGGAGGAGGTGGCGGCCCTGCTGGACTCGACGCCGTACGACCCGCCGGACCCGAAGACGACGGGCGGGCCGGGGCGGCTGTACCAGAGGCTCAGGCACGGGCACCGCAACGTGCTGATCGCGGTCGTGGACCGCGGGCTGGTGAACTTTATGAGGTTCGGGCAGGCGGCGTTCGGCGAGGAGACGCTGTACGAGCGGTTCGACAACCGGGGCGGGATCCGCGGGGGCAAGAGGGGTGGCAGGGGCGGCGGACGGGGGAGAGGGGGCGGAAGGGGAAGGGGGCGTGGCCGGTGAAGCGAGTGACTGAACCCCGGGAACTCCGGAACGGTGGGGTGTGTGTGTGTGTATGTGTGTGCGTTGCAAGAGCGGACGGCGTTCACGGGATACCCAAATGAACATGTATAGAATTAAAAACACAACTAGAGAGCTTCGCGGCCTCCGGCACAGGGGCTTGGCTTGGCCGGTAGGGATCTACGCTGTCGAGTGAAATGCACGCGGCATTAAAACAAAAAGAGAAAAGAAAAGAAAAGGAACGGCCGTACCACAAATTCTGTTTCCGAGTAGCAGTTTCAAACCGGGAGTATTGTTGACTCGGAGATCCCCCGACGTTGCCAGCATGTCGACTTGCGAGCTATGCATGCATGGTATGCTGCCTTGTGCTAGTCATTGTCATTCCAGATCTTCGAATCTTATATACCTAGCCTTTTCTTGTGTGTGTGTGTGTGACTATATCCAGCTGGATTTATAATATAGGTGAGTTAAGACTAAGTGCAAAGTCAAACATGGATCCGGGCTCACGCTGCACGATCTGTTGCACAACTTACTCGCCATCAACTCTCATGTAGGCCACCCGCAACCAAAACAAAGTATGGCCGCGGAAGGTCCGACGTCGTCCGTATAGGCTCTCGAGACTTGGTAGTGGCGTCAAACAAGGCAACGAAGGAGGGGAGGGGGAGGGCTTTTGAGGCTTGGTAAAGCGCAGGCGATTGCCAGGCAGAGTGAAAAGAAGAAACCCACGACAGGTTCCGCAGACGACCTGGGAGGACGTCCAATACCACTCCAAGATCTCGGTGGCATGCACCGTGCTGCAGGAAAGGGTGAAGCCTATAGGGTGCACACAAGAGTCGTCCGCGTCATTAACTATCAAGGTTGCGGTGGTTTTATAGGGCCACTTATAGCTGAACTCTCGGTATGTTTTGTGTTTCCTGTTGTCAAGGGTGTATATCTCTGGGTCTCAAGTGCTGTCTACACACATGCCAGTCCGCAGAAACCGCTCAACGGCGCAGGGCATGTAAACGAGGAAGGCGGTATACGTCTATCAATGTCGAGTGGCATATTCACAGCGACGTTGGCAACGACGCGAGACCCTGTTGGGATCCGGACAATAGGACGGTTCTCAGAGCCGGAGTGGGGGCCGCGTAGTGTGGGGGGGGCATGTCGTCGGCGGGCCCATATCAGTAGCAGAAGACGTGTGCAATACGTGCGAGTGAGACAACATATCGCAATATCCAAGACTGTACAGCTGCTGAGGGGGGTATGTCTATGGGATCAGTGTACAGTTCCGTACCCAAGTACTGATACAAGGCGCGGTCCCTCTTGAGGTCGCACAGGTACACAATATCAACCATACAATGTGGCGCATGGGAGGGAAGGACATGCAAAGCATCGTTTTTGGTTCAAGCCGGCAATTTGTTAAAACGCAGTCGGCAAGTAAAATCCCAGGATGGGCAGCAGATGTTGGTTGGCATGTTTAGTCGTGGAAACGGCGGCATTAGTGCGCCGAAGTATTTTCCAAGGAGCGAAAGCGCGAGGAAGAGTCATATCGCGGTGAGACAAGCCAGGGGGGCGGCGGCGGCGATGGAAGGACGGTGAGAAGATGGACAGGGTCGCCAGAGTAATCCTTTACTTACTCATAGGACGAAGGAAGCTGACCGCAAGAGCGTCCCCCCCCAAAAAAAACACCAACAGGAATCCTTGCTAGGGTAGGTTGAGTTTTAGTCGGGGCGCATGTCTGCCTCTCTCTTTCATATATACGGGTTGATGGCGGCGCCGAGCGATAAGTGAAGCAACGCCTCGCAGGGGACCGCATATGCAAGTCCCGCCGGCCAGCCAGAGTCAATCAAGCCGCAGGCCACAGGGCACCTGCCAGTTACGGTCACCTATCCCTTGGCACCACGTCTACGGAAACACGTATCTGCGTATTGGTGGTGCGATTAACTCAGAAAATGCCATCATTGACTTCCCACCTGGCGCAGCAGCACAGACCCCTTATGACTACCTACCAAGCGGGTGCCAAATTAAGCCGCACTCAGTGAAGTTGACTTAAGGTGGCCTGTGCTTTGGGGATCCACAATATGGTAGGGAGGTAGATGCTGAAATAATACCTACATAACCTATATTTTAGCGCATAGGCACTCGAATCAACCACTGTAATTTGTGAGTGCGGCTTTTTTTGTCACCCGCCTGCCTACGTCTGCGGAGTTCAGACAATTGCAAAAAAAGAGAAAAAGAAAAAGTTTCTGTCAGGAATGGTGCGCATCTCCAATGTGGGTTGAGCTTCACAAAAAAGAGACACAAAAAAGAGACATGAGTGGTGGGATATAAGCGGTCGTGGGCGGGGGCTTCGCTTGTGAGTAGAGAAATCCAAAAAAACAACGAAAAAAATAAAATAAAGAATGAAGCAACTCGATTGACTCCTTGGGAACGAATCAATGCGTTACACACATGGACTGATCCTGATGTCGGTGACCGAAAAGAGAAAAATAAATGCGACAACAGCAGGGTTCGAACCTACGCGACCGAAGTCAACAGATATCTGAGACTGCGCTGATCGATGATCAGGTTAGTTCAAGTCTGTCCCCTTAACCACTCGGGCATGTTGCCATTTGTTGTTGATTTATGCTCGACATTATCAGCCCAAGTATGTTTGGCGCTGTATGTGTGGATCATTATGTGGAGACGCTCTCGTGATGTGGGTTTTCATCGGCAGAAGCCAATTTCGATTGGCTAAAGCTTTTTCTGTCATAAAGAACCAAGGTCTCTTTCCTTGGTTGGTGTGTGTGTCTCTCTCTACGAAGCCTGGGAGTTGTCTCTTCCTGTCTTGCCTTCCCTATACCACACGAGACAGAAGTGCAGAAGCAACATCGGGATTACACATATTTTAATATCGTCAATACTTATCTTTTGTCACGTTTGCTCAACATGCTCCGATAGTTTGCTGTCGCCATTGTCCCGCTCTTTCCGGCGGGATCCGTCGTCTTACCCGAGCACGCACTGGAACACGTGGAGACTATAAGTGCATTCATTTAGAGAGACGAGTGACGAGAGAGTTACGTTTAGACATTTGTGCCAGTTGCCGCGATCTGATAGTCAAAAAAAACCCTATTCTAGGCGAGTCATCAGGAACACCCCCGCACAAGAGTAAGGCTAAACGAGGACATACCATACATAGGTAGGCTGCAGCTGCCTTTGCTAATTACGTGCATCCGTTGGGATGAGAACAATTCAATTTTTTTTTTCTTTTCTCTCTGTCGGCGAGATCAGTACCCAGCGCCACTGGCTGCTGAGCGGCTATTCAAGAAAACTCTCTCGCGGAAGAGGGATAAAAAAAAATAGTGCTCACGACCGAAAGGCTGCTCTGCCCGTCCTCAGACCTCCGCCGCGTTTCGGAAGTTCCTAGATGGGATACAGGGCAACCCGCGGCGTTTCGAGTTGAAGGATTGTCGGATCATTTGTTTTGCTGACAGCCTTCCTTGCTGCGGGAAGGGGGCCCCTTCCTCACCCCCACCGAGTTGGCATGACATGAGCATTACCAATTCACCGGCTTGGTAGTTGAGGCTGATGAGAGGTTCTGCGAGGGGAGTGGCCAAGGCCGTGAGGGATGATACCTTCTGATACGCTGATGCGGTGTCAGGCCGAAGATCCACGGCGAGCGTAATGTAATACTAATAACACGAATTGTATTAGCCCCCCAACCTTACTGCGGGAAGGATTCCAGAAGGGGGACAGACAACCGAGTGGGAGCGACGGAGAGGGTGGGGGGGGAGGGGCCGGAAACAGGCCCGAATTGATTGCCTCACATCATAAGAAGAAGAAAGGCCCGATGTGCATTCGTTTCAACGAGATGATTTTTGTTATTATTACTTTTATCATCGTTTTACTACCGGAGCGAATGCGCAAAGTTGATGGGACTGCCCGGGGAGAAAAAAGTTGTCGTCGTTAAATCCAAGCTCTCCAAGGTTACATGCTGCAATGGAACGTCTCAGAAAGAGACGAGAGATTCGCCGTTCGTTTCTCGGCCTTGCTGCGAGGCCAAACCCAGATAGATGGCGTTGATTAAGGAAGGGGAAAAAAAAATTTACTCTGAGAAAGACGGGGCCCAGGTCTACTTGTGCCAATTGGACGAACATGCCATTGTGTACCGAGCCCACTCAAACTGTGGTTCTGAAGGAAGGCTTTGTTTGTATCGGAGCTGACACTCACTCAACTCGTTCCGACGTGTCAATGTCTGTCAACTCTTTTCGGGCTGGCCCACCAGAGGATAAATTAAAAACCTCAAGTCCCCAAGCATACCCTGATCGACGAGAGTAGGCTATCTAGTCCAAGGTAGGCCGGCTCTGCACACGCTCCACGAAGTACTGTACTCCGACACGGCGAACAGACGGCAAGGGATAGAAACGCGTTTGTTGGCAGCTGTCGGTACGTATACACAGTACGTATACACGATATCTCTCTCACTCTCAGCTACCTACCAAGTTGCACTAGGCCCCATGGCGATGAAGAGGACCAAACTAAGACCGATAACCCACGGTGGTGGGGACCAGAGAGGGGGCGGCAGCCAGACTATAGCCTGCCTATTAATCACTTAATCAGCAAAACGATAAAATAGATCGGGTGCCCTGCCCCCGTGCCGTCCGTCCAACAGTTTCGAAGACAGAGAGATTGCAGAAACACCTTGTTTGAGTACCTAGTTCCGAAAACCCTCTTCTGGTAAGGAAAAGAAAAAAGAAAAGAAAAAAAGTCAAATGCTGTAATATTAGGTCACGAGATCGCACAACTGGCTGGACACGGCCCAAACTCAGCTCAACTCAACTCAACTCGGACAAGTACCATCACGTCCAACCAACCAACCGACCAATTAACCAGTCAGTCAGCTAGCCAGCCTGAGAAGCCAGAGATGAAGGCAGCGATGTGGGGGATGGGGCAGGAGGCCACAGTCTTTTTGGTGAATCCGCCAACAAACATGGCTCCGGTGAAGCTCGACGATGCATCGGGTTCGCTAGTGTCTTTTGAGATGACAGCATTAGCGGAAAACTGGGACACTCTTGAGTCCTTGTCACTCGGCACCAGCGGGCCAGCATGGCGTCAATCAAGCAAGCCATGTACGCGTAGGTACCCCATCGAGCCCCCCCGTCGGGAATACTCCGTACACACGAGCCAATAATCGGAACCTTGGCCGCAACGACGACCGAAATTGAGTACAGAGTGTATGGGATGGGCATTGGAACCCGCTCGCTTATAGGTAGGATAACGGGGGGTCTTGGTCTTGGAGTGAAACTGCACAATCCGGCTGGTTGGGCCCAAAAAGAGGATCTAGTGATGCAAACTGCCTGGTACACGACACGTGCTTAGTGGTCCATCCATACCTACTTGGCGTCATTCTTCTGCAAGTATTTGTGTCTCGGGACATTGGGTACTCTTGGTACTACTTCACCAAGGTAGTGGAGTAAAGTACAGAGTAGAGTAGAGTAGAGTTGAGTAGAGTACCGGTATTGGGGGGCCTGGTACATTAGTCAGCTCGGCTCTCGGAGGTGAGTACGGTACTTCTCATCTTAGCATTCGTTATCTCGTTCTTACTAACCTCGTAGCTGTCTGTCTGTCTGTCTACCTTGGGTAGAGGGAACTCGCTCACTAAACTGGAACCGCCTCCGAAATCAAAGGGTTAAAAAAAACAACCCCGGTTCGCAACTCTGGTTGGTCCCTTTCTTCCCTTGAGAAACTAAAACCTGTCTCTCGCCACCTTCTTACCATCCTTTCCCCCTATTCCCGTGGCGTAGAAACCCTGAGCCTCTCTCCCCTCCCTCCTCGATCGCATCTCTTTCCCATACCATACCAATCCAATCGCCCGTCTTCCTTTGCCCCCTCCCCTTTCCCATTCCCTTCTCTTTCCCCCCTGTCCCTTTCCCTTTTCCCTCAGAGTTCCTGTCCCTTCTCGTTCTTACACGCCCCAGGCATCTATCTCTTCAAACAACAACGCGTCAACCCAACTCGGTTTATCTGTGGCCTAGCTCAGACCACAACGCAGCCAAGCCACGTTACCCTCCTCACACGGTCCTCCTTTCTCTCTCTCTCTCTCTCTCTCGTTCCTAACCCCAACACTTCCTTTTTCCCCCTCTCCCTCTCACACACCAAATCCGCTCGCTGCCACAACTCCCGCAACCCCGTGCTCGATTGATTCCGTCATCCGTAACTTGTGATTGTTATCCGTCAACCGTAACAGTTTCGTCCGCTAAAGACGCATTCATCTCGTTTAACCCGCGCCAAAGCCGGGTTACCACACGCCACTCGAACTGGGCGTCCGTGCTCTGGGACACAAGACTGAAGTAAAGAGCAACAGGGATGCCGTACTGTACCGTACTGTACCGTACAGCACCGCACCGTACTGCTCTCAACCTCGACACATTCATTCACACACACACACACACACACACACACACACACATTCAACGCACCCCCCCTGTCCGCCCTGCCTGGGACTAGAAGTCTGACTGGGATGACTGGGACTCTCTCGCCTCATCTCATTTGGTTTCCCCCCTTCCTTAACAGCAGCACATAATCATACTACTGGTAACCAGACCAGTAAATATTAAGGAATTCAATACCTTGTTACATTAGATCTTACACTCTCGCTCTTTCTCTCCCTCTCTCTCACTTTGCCGGGTTTCCATTACACATACACTTCTCTACTGTTCTCCACTTCTCCCAAGTTTAGTCACATAGAAATCTTAGCCTCCAACACGCACCGCATCCGCCATTCTTTTGGGGCCATCAAATTCTCCCCAAACCCCTTAGCCTCTGTCTTCTTACAACCACACACACACACACACATACATACACACGCGCGCGCGCACACACACAAGGCAACGCCTCATCCGCAAAATTTCCCGTCCATTTCAATCGCCCTTTTCCATCTACAGAGCCGGGTTGAACTACGAGTTTCCATCGCTTATCCCCCGTCAACCTAGAGTTTCCCTCGATTCTTACAGTCGCGCATCCACACGGGCCCCCACTGCCCTTTTAAGCCAACTAAACTCTCCCGGTCGCTAACTATTCGCCGCGATGGAGGGCGCCGAGGACGTCGAAATCAAGCAGCCGTCGGTTGCACCTTCAGAGCCGCTCCAACAGACCCCCGCCGTCGAGACACCTACTCCTACAGAGTAAGTTAACTGTCCCACCTTCTTCGCCCTTGCTTTCGCTCGTCTCTTGCTTTTCTTCGCCTGCGTCTCAATCTCGGCGCTTCAGTCCACTCTTGTTGCTGCTGCGTCCTTTGCGCCTGTTTTGCGGCATATGGCACCCGCGCACCTGCTATGACCGATGGTGAAGTCACGCACTCACTGCATCACACCTTGCCGCAGTTCATCATCCTGCTCTGCTCTGTTCTGCCGTCTTCCTTCTTCCACTCTGTTTCTATGCTTCTTTCCTCCCGAGCGCGCCTTCCTTTCTTTACATGACCGTCTTGTGTCGGCCACCACTACCTTACACGTACCTTTGTGAAGAAAGAGAGAGAGAGAGAGAGAGACCTCGGCTTCAGGAACCCAACCGAGTATCTCCTTCTTCCGAGCACCGATCCCTCCCTTGATTCAACCGCAACTCTCCCTCTCCACCGTTGATAAACTGGGTTACTCATATACTTCTAAAACTCTTGTTCCTCACCGCGAGTGTGACTATTCTTTTCAACAACTCGCGGCCTGCACCGGCCTTCTTGAGCATTCATTTCCCTTGTATTCCCACCCCCCCCCGCGCCAAAACCCAAGTCGCTGCTTTACCTCTTCGGACCCTACCGCCATGTCACTCCCGCGAGACTCGCGTGTTAGGAGCTCGCTCGGAGAACCCTCAGTCCCATTCAAAGAGGCAAGGTGCGTTGTCTTTCAACCAGCCTGTGGTGGGGGGGGAATAGGGACTTGACCTCGGCTGGAGTAACTGCTTCTTCATTTCCAGCACTTCACTTCTGCTTCCCTCGTTTCCCCAGACTCCAAAACCCCATCGCTACACTGCCCGCTTCCCAGATTTCTTGCTTGGAGCATAGAGCATCTTTGGCTAGTTGCCACGAGTCAGTTGGCCCACCCTCGCCCATTCTCCAACCGTCCTACCCCTGCTCAACTCGAATTCATCATCTCATCTCATTTCATCTCATAAGACACTCATAACGTTGTCTTTTGATATCTTCCACATCCTGCAACTGAAGCCGGTTTCAAGATGAGAACACCCTGTCTTGGGCCAACATCGAAGAACATGGGGTCCGTCATGGTTGCCGCGACCTATAGTGTTGGCTTGGAGAAAGTAGAGTGTGCAGCCGCAGTGTTGACGACTCGTGACGTTTTGGGAAACAAACAATTTGTTTCAACTAGACCTTGGCCCCTGCTAATGTGAACCAACAGGGCTAGCACGAATGGCGCCAAGCTCCCGACTCTGGATGACGACGATACCGCCAACGATGATGACCTGAGCCCTCCGCCCGATAATTTGAGCCCCGTGTCGGGGAGCAATGACCGTGCCTTGGAGGACGAGATTGTCGTCGGCAACCGCAACGGCGTGGCCAAGTCGTCGCCTCTCCGCGTTGTGTCGGATCCCGAGGACGAGAACATGGCCGATGTCGAAGATGAGGAGCCCGTGGTCTCACATTACCCTAAGCGCAAACGGGCATCCGTCTTCAACGATTTGAGCGAGGACAAGATGGAGAGCGGAGTCACCACAGACAAGGAGGGCACCCCACGGAGTACCAAGCCCGCTCGTAGGCACGGCTTGGGCGGTGTCAAGGGCGTCATTCTCGGTTATTGGCGGGATTCCCCCGTCCCCGAACCAAGGGGCAAGCACGCCGTCATAGGCTTCATCGACGTCCGCGATCGTCTCCGCACCCGCATCCAGCAAAACACCCGGTTTGGCGAGCCCGTATCGAGCGCCGACTATCCCCTGCCTCCGGGACCCGGCGGCAGCTGGGTGACATTTGAGCGTGTCGTCTTCGCCGATCATCTGGTCGGTATGGACCATCATCAAGTCAAGGAGTACGTCAAGCTGCGGACGGATGCCGTTGAGGACACCGAAGAGGCCCGGGATGCGGCAGAGCTGGCCGCCGCCAAGGACGCAATCCGCCGCGTCGAGGAGAACCCTCCTCCAGAGAACGTCGTGGCCCCGGCCATCGCCTACGGCGCCGAAATCCCGGACCACGCTACGATGCCGCCACGACCCGACTCCAAACGTCGGCGTACCGGCAACGGCATCGGCACCATCAGCGGAGGCCCGGTACAGACGCCGCCGGCACGCGACATGGCTCCGTTCCATCAGTTCGATCCTTTGCATGGTACTAGGCCTACCCGTATCATCGTGGGCTTTTGGAAGGGCTCTAGCGAGGAGGACCCGGCCAATCGCCATGCCGTATACGGCATCCTGGGCCAGAACGACATGTTCCGCGTCAAAGTGGCGAGGGAGACTCGCGACAAGCGCTTCGTCGACGGCAACTTCCCCGTCGGGGCGGGTGCCCTCTGGATCCATTGGGAAGAGGTCGAGCTCGAGCCTCACCTCAAGAGCTTGTCTCGCGCCGAAGTCAAGGAATACTGCCGTGTCCGCCAGTGGCAGATCGACCAAGGAGAGACCCCCGAAACCCGCCCCAACAACGAGGCGCAGGCTGTGTACGACGCCCAGCAGCGCGTGGCCCACGGCTTCAACAAGCCTGGTCTCATGAACAATATGCCCCCCCCGGCTATTGTCCCCCAGCCCGACGAGGACATGGCTGAGTCGCCCGATACGAAGCTCGACGTGAACCCAGAACTGCGCCAGAGCCGTAGAACCGAAACCCGAGGCGTTCGACACGCCCTGCCCGATCTCGAAGCCAGACAGTCGTCTCGCACGCCGGTGCAGGCGCAGAACAAGATCGACGCCAGCGCCCGTCGCGAGATCGCAAGGATCGAGGCTGCACAAATGCGCACCGAGCGCTTCGCCGCCGATCGTGAAGCCGCCGCCGCCGCCGTTGCCGCCGCCAATGGCGCCAACATCGCTCCTCCCCCTTTGATGCCACAGACCATGCCCAAGATGCCTATGCAGAACGGCAACGGCAACGGCCAGCGCTTGAGCAGCCTTTTCCACGAGCGCGACGAGATGCAGCGCCTCAACAAGGTCTGGGCCAGCCAGGAAGAACAACGCAGCAAGGTTGGAGGCGAAGAGACCAAATTCTACGGCGGTATCAAGTACGAACGCAAGACGAATGGGCCTTTCGTCGGCAAGCTTGTGTCCCAGGGCACCATCATCAGCATCGACGGAGAAGATTACGTCGAATATCGCGTACTTACGAAGCCGAGCTTTTTCTAATTCGTCTCGTGCGGATTGGTCCACCACAATTTGTTTCCTTCCGGCCTGTTTAGTCGGCCGGCATTGTCAAGGCATCGCTGTCAGTCAGTATCTCACCGGCCCGAGTCGATTCTCTACGAATGTTTCCTTTCTGTTTTTTTGTCGGTATTGGAGCGGCGGGACGGCGGCATAGGGGTTTTCTTTGTGTAAATTCTCCTCACGACAAAAAGAAGCGAGGATTGGGCGACCGCGGGATTTTCCTACTATACCCCTTTTTCAATGTTTCCGACTAATCACCACTGTTTCTTTTGTCTTGTCACCTCGGCGCGGAAAAAGCCTGTGCAGTTTGCTTGTCATCAGTCAGGGAAGGGGCTTTTGCCTAGGAGCTATTATACCACGTTTCCCCTTGCATTTCGTTTCCTTTTTTTCTTTTTTCTTTTCCAGACCTTGCGGTCCCTTATTCGAGCCGTCATCAGTCTCTCGCGTAGTCTTATATAACTTCCAGGAGAAGTCATGAAGATGGGAATAATAAAGCTTTCTTCTGTTACTCTGCTCTCGCATTGTTTTCTCCGACATCCAGATTGAACAAACCAATAGGCAGACGGAGGGGAGTTAACAGGCCAGGTAAGAGAAAAGACGCGCTGGTCGTCTATATAAACTTTGGGTGTCCACTTTGGTTGTGCTTGGGACGGCGGCGTGAAACACCGCCCAGGGTATGTTCAGCAGACTAACTTGACTCGCGTACAATTCCACTCCAGCCGACAGAAGTAGCTAACTTGCCGGGCCTTCGGCATCCCCCCCACCTCTTCTCCCGAAAAAAAGAGTACGCGACACGGCTCGAGACCAGACGTCCTCACGGCTCCTGGTCAAAGTCGTAGCTGTTCCCGAACCCCCTCCCCAGGTACGTCCGCAGCGCCTCCTCGCGGCTGACCCAGTCGACGGGGACCTCCAGGCGGCCGTCGGTGGCGGCGTCGAGGAGCGGCCTCACGTCGTCGGCGAGGGTCAGCCGCATGCGGTTCCGGTACCACGGCGCGAAGTGGATCATGGCGAGCATGATGCGGACGTCGTCGGTCCGGTTGGGCATGCCAGCGTGCCAGAGCCGCAGGTCGCGGACGACGAGGCTGCCCTTGCGGACGGCGGGCTGGGAGGGCGGGCGGGCGGCGCGGCGGGCGGCGAGGGCGGCGTCGCGGATGCGGCCGCTGGCGCGGTCGCCGTGGGCGCCCTCCTGGGCGGCGGCGTAGGCGTCGGCGGCGGCGTGGGTGCCGAGCCAGAGCTCCGTCGAGCCGTTGGCGGGCGTCATGGTGACGAGCGGGACGTTGACGACGAGGGCGAAGGGGTGCGACGGGTGGGCGAAGTCGGCGTCCGAGTGGACGGGCTGGCGCTGGGGCGGGCGCGAGGGCGAGGTGGGCATGGCGGAGTTTGCGGAGAGGAAGGTGAGCTTCGGGCGGGGGCCGAGGACCGAGGACGTGATCTGCGTCGCGACGGGGTCTGTCGGGGGTTCGGTTTGTTAGCCTGCCGTGGGAGGCTGAAGCTCCTCGACGACGACGACGACGACGACGACGACGACGACGACGACTCACTGGTGAAGATGGACTTGTAAAAGTGCTCCGCCACGGGCGGAGGGTCCTGTTGCAGGTTGCCCAGGTTGTAGTTGAAGGGCCCCTCGTCGCCGAGGGACTGGAGGTGCAGCGCGTCCTCGACCATCTTGCGGTTCAGGGCGTCGATGTCGGCGTGCGGGACGACGTCCTCGACGACGACGAGGCCGTCGGCGTGGAGGTGGCGGACGGCGAGCTCGAGGTTGCGCGGGGAGAGCGCCTGGTCACGGATCTCGGCGTCGGAGGGCCGTATCACGGCCGGCGTGGTGTTGGTGGTGGCGGTGGTGGTTGTTGTTGTTGTCACGCTGCGGTGCTGTGTGAGTGAGGCCGTCATCGCCCGCTGGGCGACGAAGAGGGTCGGAGACGGGGGGTTCGGGAGGGGAGACAGGCGGCGGCGGCGGAGAAAGAGGAGGGCTGTTGTGGACGGGGTGGGCTTCATCATGTCGTTTCCTGGCGAGGCAGTGTTTCTTGGAAAGGTTTCATGGTGAGGAGGAGCACTGGTGAGGACGAGGACGAGGACGAGGGATCTTTCAGTTATATACTGTATGCTGGAGTGAGGAGGCGGCGCGTGAGGAAGTCTGTCTACCCCAAACCCGAGCTCGGGTTTGGAGCCACTTACAACCGCCCCATATCCCCTCTCCCCACAAACCCCAGGTTCCCCAAACCCGAGCTCGGGGTATGTTACCCACCCAGGCCGCCTGCCATCCCTCCCACCTTCTCCAGGAATAGAACAAGCGTGTTGGGCCTTGATCCATCCGTGAAACCCCGCTCATCTCACTCGTCGTCTCGAGTGGCACGCGCGGTTGGCACCCTCCACTCCGCCTCTAGGTCGGCGACGAGTCTCTGCACCGGCCATCCGATGGACCGCCTGCACGCCAAGAGGCGGCGGACGAGCTCCTGTCTTGCGGGCTCTGCACGGAGGAACCTTGCACCTACCCACGCCTCGTTAGAATGGATACAAGAATGTCGCGGCGTAGGGAAAAATGAGAAGACGGGGAAGGGGTTGCATGCGCGGGGGCCGGGGGAAAGGGCGGGGGAGCACTTACAGAAGGCAATCGGGCCAAAGGAGTTGACCTGTACGGCCGGGGCGTCGGTGGTGAATGCCACGCCGCAGACGTCCAGGGCCAGGCTTTCCGCGACGTCGAGCGCCGTGATGCCGACTCCGGCGCGGTCGTCGTCGTCGTCGAGCAAGGCGCGCAGGTCCGGTAGCCGCTCCGGCGTGGCGTGAGTGCAGAGGAGGGTCGTCGAAACGAGTCTGTAGTGCAATGCCGCCGCTTACACGGCTTCAGATTCTGTGTGGGATAGAAACATAGGTAGGCAGGGGAACGAAAGCGTACCGTGGCAATCTCTGAGCATCCATATGGACGGCAGAGCAAGGCCCAAGCCGCGGTCTGTTTTCGCGAACGGGGCGAAGCGAGACGGCAGGCCTGACCGCCAGTCCTCCAGCATCCCGAACAGAAACGCCCACGCCTCCTCGGTGACTGTGCTCGAGAAGCACGCGTTGATGATGCGCCCGAGGATGAGAGACACGGTGTTGAGGCGGTCCTGGTCCGTGTCGTGCCGCACCGGAAGAGGCATCCGTTCCAGGTCGATCTTGAGAGGGCACTGCCGGAACAAGCTGAAGGTGATGTCCTCGCGGAGGTAGTTCCAGAACCCTGCGGCCCTGATGCCGGACCCCGGATAGTCGTTGAGAGGATTTCGGTGAGCTGCCAGGGAGTACGCGCCCTGGAGGTGCCTGTTCGGATCAACCTCCTCTGTCGCGTTGAGCTTTTTGGTAAGAACGAACGCTGAGCCGCGTCGACGAAACAACACGAGGCCGACGACTCACCGCTGAGGATCTCGTACGACCGCAAGAGACAGACGGACGCCAGCGCGAGCCCCTGGGCGTCCTCGTCGCCGTAGTCCCCCGCCGTCAGTTCGATCAGGAGGCGGACGCAGTGCCCGTGGTAGAACTCTGCGGCCGCCCTCGCCGACGGCGCCGACGTCCGGCTCATGTGCACGGCGGACAGGGCGAGGATGGCGGACAGCGGCAGGGCCCGCTCCAGCGAGGCTTCCGGGAGCCTCGTCGCAAAGGTGGAGGACGCGTCGCTGAGGTCGTACCAAGGCGCGATGTGCGCGATGTAGTGGTGGAAGTAGCGCGCTATCGACGGGTTCTGCAGCGCTCTGCGAGGGTTCGTCGGGGCCGGGAAAGGGGCCGAGGACGCGGCTGATGTAACGCGGTCTCAGCCAGACATGATAGAACCCAGACACCCCCCCCGCCGCCCTCCGCCCCCGAAGGACTCGAGGCGCTCGCTCACCTGTGCTATCCGGCTTTGCCGCATCCTCTCGGCTCGTGTTGTTGTGGAATTGCGGGACCGGAGCCGTCCGATCGCAGTACCTCTGAGCTTTGGAGCATCGTTGACACACGGGCATCGCCTCGTCGCCTGTTTTCTCGATAAGCCGAGGGCCTTTTCCTGTGGTTATAGCACTGGCTTGCATTTGACCTTGCGGACGCGACATGTGTTGCTACAACGCCCGATTGCTTGTCAGCTGGATCGTCGGCAAGTACGCCAGCACATCTCCGAAGGGGGGGGGGGTTCAAACCATGCTACCGTAGCGTCAGCGAACTCCTCATACACGACATCTGTCTCTTCCCGGTCCTCAAAAGTGTCTCTCACCTGCCTGGTTGAAGCTACGAGGCATCGCGGCCGAGGATCGACTATTGATTAGGTGCGTGCTGCTAGCAGCCCGAAGGATCGCACCAATTTGACCGAGGCTTGTCGTGAGAAATAACCTCATGTGCCTGATAGCTCCGATGGGGGGTTGATCCTGCGAAGCGCTGGAGGAACTCAAATTGAGGAAGAGGTTGCGGGTCGCCGAGGGTTCCGACCCCACACAAACGCATCGGCCAGTGGTACCCCGCGCGGCCTCGGAGCGGGGGGCGGGCCCGTGACCTGAGTTGCTCCGGGGTCCTGACCGGTGCGTCGGCAATGAGGCTATTCCCAGGCTATGTCTATCCTATAGGTGTTAATCCTGTCATTTTAGCCCTCATCCCAGCCTTCATCCAATGTAACTGTACCTTGTTTTTGCACAGCAGGCAGCAGCGCGACCAATTTAGTCCCCTTCGACAGACCGTCCACTTATGTGACCAGCGGCTCCCCCCTTCAGACTCGGGTATACTTCTGTCAACGAGGGCTTCTTCATCTCAAGCCCACCAGGTTCCAGCGTCATCTCTAATCCTCATTCCAATTATGCAGGCGACCAAGGGCCCTCTGCGACGATTGATCCTCACTACCAGACTACGGCAGGCACGAAGGTCATTGCAAGTAGCTTCTCTCCACAATACTCCTAGCAACATCAATCAATCCATCCAACTGCTGGATACTTCACCTTTCTTCTTCGTTTCCCTTTTTCTGCCAACAATATATATCATCAATTGGGACACTGCTGGTTCACCCTGCCGAAAGGCATCACCCATCTGGCGATTAACCAGCACTTCTGAGTCCGTCGATGAATTACTCATAGCGGCCCTCCGCACAGCATACTGCTTCTCAGGACTTTTGGTAGGTTTGTTCCTTTATTTAACACTCCCTTCTAATGTTGACATGCTGCAGGCCTAAGGTACCGGATTAAGCGATCCTGCCCCAAGACATCCTATTCCAAGTCGACCCGGCCCAAGTCGTTTGCAGCAGCAGTCTGAGCTAAGTGATTCGAGCTTTCCTAAGCTTAAACTACATTGATTAACCGAATACTAGAAGGCGGCGGCACCTTCTGCCCGTCCCCAACCTCGCATATCAGGACCAGTCATCTGCAGTAAGTTTGTCAACACCCTTGCATCTTTGGTGGCACGTTCCAACACCAGGCCAAGTAACCAGCTTCATATCTTCCTCCACACGTGCGACCAAAGCCCCAGAGCTCCGAGGCCACCGGAGACAGGTCCGTCCTGTCTCTGAGGCCTACACCAGCGCCGGCGGAACAAGTTCATGAAGAGCTCGTCGAGTAGCCATTTGCCTGGGTTTAAAGAAGTAGAAAGGTCCATGCATGCCAAGAAGGAATGATGACGTGGCAATTTTGGAATAGATGGCTATTGGTTGGGAATGCCATTCAGTGTCCTCAAACAAGTGATGCAGGAGGACGGGCAAATGGGCCTTTGGTACGGGGAATGGCTGACACAGGCGAGGATGGAGGGCAGGAACGCCTCGGAGTTTATGGGTCCGCTCGATGGTGTTTACGACTACCTAGGCGGCGAGGAGGGTTCGGAAGACGAGTATTGCTGGTATGGATTGATTTGATTTTACAGACGACCAGTGTCTGCGCATAAAAGAAGAACCAGACGAACTCCAAAATCATCATTCACGTGGAGGAAAGTGCAAAAGCGTGTGGGAGTAGACGAAGGACCAAAAGAAAAGGCAAAACAATAGTTGATGTGCGCCGAGGGGGAATCGAACCCCCGGCTCCCCGACGCTGCTTGATGGCAACGGAGAATTTTACCACTAAACCATCGGCGCTTGGAGACGGTCAACCGCTGGAATGATTCCAGGATCGTGGGTCGTTGATGTCTCGAGCGTGAAAATGGGACTATATCGCGCATGATGACTAGGGCTTTGCGTTTTTTTGGATGCCGATGTGGATCGTGGTGGGGCTATCTCGGCCGTCCGCGGCCGGACCATCGTACGTTAGTATCCTCCGAGCAGGTCATCCTTGCCGGCCCCGTTCATGGAAGCGGCAACCACATGCTGACGAACACTTCACGGCCACGTTCATTCTCATCCACATTCCTGTTGGCGAATCTTGAGTTGAATCACAGAATGGACTTTGTTCCCTTCTTCTCGAGCCCCTGGCGGCTCAGCGGGTTGGCAAGAATGCCTACCACCCAGCGTATGATAAGAAGCGGACCAGCTCGACACAATAATTCCGAGCCACAGCCCAAGCGTTAGGGCCAAAACATACATCATAATGGGGCATGAGAGTGTGAAGCTTCGCGCACCAAGCCACCTGGTTCGTTGTTGTATCATATAACTGTCGCCTCGCGTGTCATTACCAGCTCCACCATGGCCATATCCTAGTGGCTTACTATTCGCTTTCTTGTTTCAAATACTGGACCTCCTATTTCAACATTTTCGTCTTGATGAGGACGAGAATCCCATCTACTTAAAGACAACTGCCATTCGTATTGCCGTTTCCCAACGCGTAGACCAGGTAGCCCAGAATATTTGCGGACTTTGCTCACGACAACGGTCAGTGATTCTCTTCTCGGGGCTCAGGGTATGAGGAGGTGTCTCGTATTTCATCCGAAATCACTTGGCTGCTGAACCTGAGAACGGGTGTCGACATCCTTGGTGCGCCCATCTTGTGGCATACCGCTCCTCGCGTAACATGACCAAACATGCATCAACCTACTACCTCTAGACCTCGTGCTACTCGATATATGACCTTGACATTTCTATCGAGGCTCTCGGGTTGGTAGTGCCCACCGAGGATGTCCCTAATCGGGTCCCTGCCGGGGCTTCACATGAGCACTCAGTCCTCGTCCCACCTCGAGCACTGCCCTCCCGCGTCGTCCATGTTTGCATTCCGCAATCATACCTCGCATCACACGAATCCAACTGGGATGAGTGGCCCTGCCTCGATCTGCCTTACGGCTGCCTGCTCACCGACTTTTCTCATCATTAAGGACGGTCTCATGATACCCTCCCACGGCACGCTTCCAAAAACCCACCATCTTCCCCGAGGGTCTCTTGCCTCGCCGCTTTGCTCTTTCTCCACGACTCGAAACATGCTAGTCTACTCAATCTCTTGACCGGGTACCCCAGAGGACTTACAGAATCTTACCTCGGAAACCACTACGTCTTAGCACTCGCCATGAGCAGGAGAAAACGCCTCACACCTCAGGAGCTCGAGAGGCTCTGCAGCTATGCGACGCCCATGGGCCGTTGCCCGTATGCCAGGGTCACTTTGGTCAAGGACGGCGCCCGTTACGGATCCCGCTTCTGCAAGGCTCACTGCTGCAAGAAGATTGACGGCAACTCTGCGTGCCTGAACATGAGAACCAACAACAAGGGATACTGCCAGCATCGTATGGAGCCCCTGGATCCGCATTGAATCTCTTTGGCTTGACTGAAAACTTCCTGTCTATAGACCTCCTGTGCACAGGTTCGATCAATGACCAGCGTTGCACCAACTACATCAAGAACTACGACCCCAAAGACTTCAAGTTTTGTTCGCAGTATCGTACGTCCACCCGATCCCCTTTCTCATTGCCCATCACTGCATTGTTCCTACCATCATGTCCGCATCGGCCCTCGACAGCAACTAACACCTCCCGCCAAAAAAACAAAAGATAACTGCCTCACCCCAGGATGCGCCAACGAGCGCAACCACCCCAACGGCGTCGACTATAGATACTGCCCGGACCACCGCTGCGACCACGCCGACTGCGCGAACCCCAAGGCCGCACCCTCCCCCTTCTGCGCCTCGCACACCTGCGCCTCCCCGGCCTGCCTCGCCCGCTGCCCCGGCGCCTCGGGGGACCTCGACGACCCCTCCCGGTACTGTGACCGTCACCGCGTCTGCGCGGCGGGGGGCTGCCGTCGCTTCGCCCACCTCGACGACCAGGGCATCCCCTCGCGCCACTGCGGCGCCCACCTCTGCCGCTTCGAGGGCGGCTGCGACGCCGAGCGCGCCCCCGGCACCGAAGACGTCTGCGCCGCGCACGTGTGCGAGGAGGCCGGCTGCGCGAGGGCCCGCGCGCATCGCGCCGAGGGGTCGCGGTACTGCAAGACCCACGAGTGCGAGGCCAGGGACTGCTGGCACCGGCGGTGGCTGGGCGCCTTCTGCCCCCAGCACCAGTGTGCCAGGCTCGGCTGCGAGCTGGGCGGCGAGTTCGGGCACTACTGCGCCAAGCACCGGGTCTGCGCGACGCCCGGGTGCGACCGGTTCCGGTCCGTCGACGGGGAGAACGTCAAGGAGATGTGCGAGGAGCGTGAGTACTTGCTCGTCCTCTCTCACGAGCCCGCGCCCCTTTTTTTTTGGCGGCCGCCCATGGGAGAGCTTTGTCTGAATAACGTCAGCTAACCATCCCGCTCCCAGACTCGCAGACGCGCTGCCGCAAGCCGGACTGCGGTGCCCGCGCCGTCGACGGGACCCCCCTCTGCGTGAACCACATCTGCGCTCACCGCACTTGCGGCAACGAGCGCCACCCGCCCAGCGAGCACTGCTCCATCCACAAGTGCGCCGTCGCGGGCTGCCCGCAGCTGCGCGTGCGCGTGGTCCCCTCGCGGGCCGTCCTGATCCTCGGCGCCACCGACGGGCTCGAGGGCGTCGGCTGGCCCTTGTCGCCGTACTGCCGGGCCCACGCGTGCGGCCAGGAGGCGTGCGGCGAGAGGGCCGCGGGCACCTCGGGCTTCTGCCAGGCGCACGCGAGGTGTCGGCGGCCGGGTTGCGCGAACGGCGTCGACCTCCGCGCGCCGGACCCGACGTTGTGCGAGGAGCACAACCGCAACGGGCCTGGCCGGACGGTGCGGAGGGGGGTGTTGAACCTGGAGCCGTTCGGGTACGGGGGTGGCGGCGGTAGCAGTGGCGGTGGTGGATGGCCTGGGCTTGGGAACTGGGGGATTAACGCTACATTGTAAGACAGATCGAGAGAACAAGGGAGTCAGTCTTGATCGGAGCTGTTTTCGGGTTATGGCAATAGGCCTTTCCTTGCTTGCAATATCTGGTTGGGTGGTTACGAAGCTTGCTAGGCTGGGTGCCTGCACAAGAGACCCCGCTCACATGCTGATGTCTCACATGATTAACATTGTTCATCTCTTGCGATCCCCGGATGAGGAATCGCAACACCCCTGCATTGTGTTGGAGCTCTAGTCTGTGAAGGCCATTCATCTCCAAATCTTCTGCCCAAGCACCCCCCCTCGCGAGACAAGACTCCTAGATGCCGAAAGCCTTGATGTCCTTGACCAGGTCCGTGATGCTCTCCTCCAGGGTGCGCCACTTGATGCCCAGGATCTCGGCCGTCTCGCTGTCGTCGTAGCCGTACAGCTTGTCGCTGGGCGGCAGCTCGCCGCCCTTGGTGCCCTCGGCCGGCAGCCGGTCCGCCAGCTCGGGGAAGTTCTTGCGCACGACGGCGGCGATCTCGGCGTTGCTGAACCAGCCGGCCGTGGTGAACAGGCGGCGGCCGGCGGCCTCGGGCTTCTCGAGGGCCAGGACGTGCGCCGTCGCGAGGTCCCGCACGTCGATCCACAGGTAGGCGGCCCCCGTGGGCGCGACGGCGTGCCGCCACTTGCCCTGGACGAGGTCGACGACGCGCTCGTTGGACGTGTTGATGCTGGCGAGGTCGGCGAAGTGGTGCACGACGGGGCCCAGCACCAGCGGCGGCGTCAGCGTCACGAGGTCGAAGGCGGGCCGCTCCCTTTCGGCAAAGTCCCAGGCGGCGCGCTCGGCCAGCTTCTTGGAGGCGCGGTAGGCCGTGGCGGGGCTCCGGCCGACGTCCTCGGCGGTGACGGGGTTCCAGTGCTTCTCGGTGAAGACGGTGCCGGGGTCCTCGAGCTTGGCCTCGTCGATGACGGAGGCGAAGGACGACGTCACGACGACGCGCCGCACGCCGGGGGCGTCCCTCTTGAGGGCCCTCAGGATGGCCGTGGTGCCGACGACGGCCGGGTCGAGGAGCTCCTTCTTGGCGTCGGTCCACTTGAAGTGGAAGGGGCTGGCCGTGTGCAGCACCGCCTCGAGGCCGGGCGTCTTGACCACCTCGTCGAAGGCGTCCTCGCGCGCAATGTCGGGCACGATGGCGACGGAGAGGCGCGAGGCGTCGACGTCCTTGTGCGCGTCGCGGATCCTCTGCGCCTTGTCCTCGGAGCGGACCGTCGTCACGACCGAGTGCCCGCGCGCGAGGAGCTGTTCCAGGATGTGGGCGGCGATGAACCCGGAGCCGCCTATCGCCGAGTTAGCATTCTGTGCCCGCGCACTGGTCGGTTGCTCGTTGTGCTGCTATGATTGCGAGCCGGGAGTCGCCCGGTGTTTTTTTCCCCATTCCAACGCCCCGGGGCAGCACCTCCCAAGTGAAACCCAACCCGAGCGAGGCTGGTCGCATTCACACTCACCGGTGAGCAAAACCTTGGTCATTTTGTTTTTGTCTTTGGATTGATATCTCGGGTGCTCGATCAAGCAAAGTGATATGGAGTCGAGACAGTGTTTGAACAACTTGTGAGGACCACTCACATCAACCATGTTCCAACCAACCCTATTTATCCCCCCACTCGTTGCAGTTCGACCCCTCAACGCCTGTCACTTTAACCCCTCCATTGCATGGTGATCGACGGCCCCCCAAAATGCCCCGCCCACACCTCAGCCCCTCCCTCAGGTCCGTGGGAGGTTAAGCTCACGACCAGCGCTATCACGTCATTCATGTGCCGGTTGGCCGCGCCTCGGCTCTTCGTCCCGCCGAAACCGCATCCGTCCCGCTCCACCCACAGTGAATGGTGATAAGCGGCGGCAGAGATACGGTAGTCCGGCAAGCGGCGTAAATTGCCAAACACTGTCAGAATGGAACGCTTTCACAGCCAAGCAACCACCGCACTCCGTGTTCTCCAGTCGTCCTACGCAGGTCTTTGCCGGGAAAACATCACAGGATAGAGGCAGAGAGAGGGCTGTGATGCAGCAAAGCGAATAATCATGTGGGCTATGCATCAGTTACATGTTCCTACAAACGAAATAATACACTCATTCGAGCCCGGCCGCTGTCAATCCGCTAATCAGGATCATGCGCTGTCCTTTCCGTGTCAAAGTCCCAACAACCTACGTGATTGTTTTCGAACCCTTTCTGCTCGATAGCCAAACGATCCATGTCCGATGCCGACGCCTTATTCGCGCGAAGGCATATCAAGGCCCCAGGTGAGGGGAGAGTGTTGTTTATGGGCAGCGGTCTGTTAGGTCCCCTCTGTACTTGCTGAAAAATCTTGGTACGAGTATTCCCGCCCAGGTGATTGTGCCTTGCCTTGGCCTGACCGCCTTGCTTCGCTTTTGTTCAAAGCAGGCAATTTTGCATCCTCTTCCGCGAATCGCTGAAACGCCTGCCATGCTGCACTGATTGAAATGATACAAGTGTTATAATAATACGAGTGCCTATTCGCCCCCCGGCCGCGACTCGGCTTCCGCACTCCTGCATGTCGCCGCCTTCAAAAGGAACGGATAAGTAAAGTGGCTCTCTGGGGAGCCACCGAGACTCGTCCCAGATCATGATTTCCGGTCCGACCCAGGAGCGATGCCCCCCGCAGACGCAGATGGCGGCGGCGGCGAGGGAGGAGGCACGGCTGAGCCTTCGCCCGCTTCAGGGGACGGGGGGAACTTCTGGCCGATGTTGACGGCGGCGCTCGCAGGCACCTTCATCGGGCCCTTGGGGATGGGCTTACGGCCAGGAAGCTTCTCGCCGCGGATCACCTTCTCCACCTCGTTCTTGTCCAAGGTCTCGTACTCTACAAGTGCCTTGGCGAGGAGATCAAGCTCCTTGCGCTTATTCGTGAGCAGCACGCGGACCTTCTCGTACGACTCGGTCAGAGTGCGCTGCACCTCCGACTCGATTAGGGCCTTGGTCTCCCCGCTGAGCTTGTCGTAGCGCTCGCCGTACTCTACAGGGCCAAGCTTGGCAGACATGCCGTAGAGAGCGACCATCTGGTAGGCGAGACTGGTGGCGTTCTTGAGGTCCTAGGCAAAACGTTAGTTATGTCGGTGACACTCGCATGTCCATCAACTTACACTCGAGACACCCGTCGTCACCTTGTCGGTGCCATAGACGATCTCTTCGGCGAGCTTTCCGCCCAGAGAAGTCTCGATCAAACTCTTGAGATCTCTAGTCGTGTAAGAGTACTTGTCCATCTCGGGAAGGTGGGCCGTGTGTCCGAGACTTTGGCCTCGGGGGAGAATGGTAACCTTGTAGAGCTTGTTGGGGCCGCTCTCGTGGTAGAAGGACACGAGAGCGTGGCCGGCCTCGTGGTAAGCCGTCATCTCCTTCTCCGTCTCGCCAATGACCATGTTCTTGCGCTCGGCACCCATGATGACCTTGTCCTTGGCCCACTCGAAGTCCGCCATGCTGACGGCGGCAGCCTTGAGTCTGCTGGCGCGAACGGCAGCCTGGTTGACAATGTTCTCGAGCTCGGCGCCAGAGAGACCTCCGGTGCTGGCGGCAATGGCCTCGAAGTTGATCTCAGGGGCAGCCTTGACCTTCTTGGCGTGGTACTTGAGGATTTCGATGCGGCCGCGGACGTCGGGCAGGGGAACGGTGACGTGGCGGTCGAAACGTCCGGGTCGGGTGAGAGCCTTGTCGAGAAGTTCCGGGAAGTTGGTCGCCGCGATGATGACAACGCCGCTGTTCTGCTCGAAACCGTCCAACTCGGTCAACAGCTGGTTGAGCGTCTGCTTGTGGTAGGCGGCATCCCTGGTGTTACGGCGTCCACCGATGGCGTCGAGCTCGTCGATGAAGATGATGGCGGGAGACTTGGACTTGGCCGACGCAAAGAGATCGCGGACGCGCTTGGCACCAACGCCGACGTAGACCTCGTCGAACTCGCTGCCAGACATGTAGAAGAAGGGAACGCCAGCCTCGCCCGCGACGGCGCGGGCCAGCAGGGTTTTGCCGGTACCGGGGGGGCCGACCATGAGGATACCCTTGGGGAGCTTTCCGCCGAGCGTAGAGAACTTGTCCGGGTTGCGCAAAAAGTCCACCAGCTCCTGGAGCTCGTCCTTGGCCTCGTCGGCGCCGTGCACGTCCGCAAATCGCGTGGTTTGGTTCTCCGCCTTGGCCTCGCTGTCGACCTTGCCGCCGGGCCGCCTGAAGAGTTGGAGAGTCTCGATCAGCAACGTGACGAGAATCAAGCTGATATACGTAAAGAGACAGAACCAAAGGATGAACTTGACCCAGCGGAAGACGACGCCACCAAACGGCTCATCGACGACGACGTGGAGCGGGCCGGTCTGCCCATTGCCTTGAACGGAAGTGGCCATGTTCGAATCGCGCGACCTCGCAGCAAGCGCCTGACCCACAGCCTGCAGCTGAGCCGGGGACAGGTTGCCCGCGGGGGATTGCTGGCCCGGCTCTTGGCCGCCGACGGCGCCGACGTTGCCAAAGGCGGAGGGCAGGTGGTCGTGGCCCCCGACGGCCGCCGTGCTCTGCATTCCGATCGCCTGCGCGTATGCCTGGTCCACCGCCTCGTTCCTCGCGAATCGGCCCGAGTTGTAGCGCTCGATGACGATGGCGGGCATGTTGGCCTTGAGGAGGAGCTGGTAGAATGCGTTCTGCGCGGTGGCGCTGCCGGGGTTCCTGTTGGCCGCGGCCTCCCGGCTGGCGAGGAGGTTGCGCGAGATGGGTTGGTTCGTTCCGAAGAGGCGTTGCTGGTGTTGCTGAAGGGCGAGTCCCAGACCGGGAGTTCTCGTGAAGGGGACCACCGGGCGAGCGGACAGAGCGGAAGCCGTCGCAAGGCGGAATACAGACTGCATCGTCGCGGGCTGCATCACCGCACGCCGGAGGAGCAGCGGGCTGGCCGCGCTCAGCGCCAGCGCAGCTGGGCGTAAGGCCATGGTGCCTTTGGGGCTGGCCGGATGAGGCGTGTCGTCAGAGTGGACACCTTAACCGTTTGCTGCGTGATGGGTTGATGGAAAGGAGAAGACGAGTGTGTTCGTGTGGGGGAGGATCCCCTTCCGGGCAAAAGGGAAGAAAACGAAAAAGGCTTCTTCAGCTGCTACTGACGTCTTGGTTGATGTTGAAAGAAAGCTGACATGGCCTATCGCCGGTCAGATACGCATCGGCTTGTTGAGAGGCGGCAGGCGACGGATATGGATACGTTGAGGCGAATTACCGTTAATTCTATGACCACGACAGGCGGTGCTGCCTTCCGAGTTTTTCCCTGTTCCGAAGGTCCGTGACCGGGGGAAGGAGCTGTGCAGCGACCGAGCTGCCATGCACACGTGATGCTGACTAAGCTGATTCTAGAAACGCCCCTGACCCGGAGACTGAGAAAGGCCGATCCGTGGTGTGTGACAAGGGCATATACCAGCCCCACGTCATTGGCCGATAATACAATGATCTCTCGGCCGAGATTGAATCTCATCTCGTCGACTTTGGTTTGGCGAACCGGACATGAGGTGACCCAAAGACGGAACTACATATTCTGGAAAGTTCCTTTCCTTCAAATACCATCGCCATTTCGACGCCTTCCCTGGACCAGCACTTTGTTTGCTGGATTCTGCTCGACGTCTGCTCGCGTTTGCCCAACAGCGCGCCTTGGAAGTCAAGCACGAGGCAGCTGACTGGTTATAATTCCAGCCAATCACAAAATTGCCTCCCGCCAGTCCACTCGAGAACCCCAGAAAAACCGCCAAGTCCAAGGAGCGAGATGGCTGCATTCTTTCCGCATTCAGGCGGACGCTGCAGATCGCCCGAAAACAAGGACCCTCGATTATGATTCCGCACCCATCTCTGTTGGATGTTGCCATCCTCCTCCCCTCTTTTCTCTCTCTCTCACTGTCTCTCTCCTTCTCGCTCTCTCTTGGGCTATTCTGCCTCGTCTTTCTCTCGGAACTGGGCACGCGCGCATGCCACCTTCAGACCCAAACCGATACCGTCACTCAGGAACCCGTGTCAGCTTTCGGCGCTCACGAGGCTGCCGCCGAGCTCACAAACGACTTCTCCAGATGAGAGCCGCCGTACATTAAATGGCGCAGGCTCCCGCGCGCATCTCATCAGGCACCGGGCTTACCCTCCCTTCGTCGTCACCACTCCTGATTTCAGCTGGCGCTGGAGCGACCTCTGTTATGCGGACGTTGTGTTAGCGCAGCTTCCTGCACGATTCCATGCTGCAACCAGAACAATCTGAGGTCCAGGATGAAGCCTCGAACCGAGGACAACAACAATAACCGTCAGCGCCGTCTCGATTACCCGTCACCCTAACCCCTGCTAGACCCCCTCTAGTAAGGTAACTATCGTCAAACATACATCGATATGACCAACGACAACTGGGATTTAACTGTCTGCGTCTCCTTCAGCCGAAGATAACAGCACAACACATAATCACCAGGCTGCCAATACTTACACCGCACAAATCTACAAAGGGCCAGCTCCGGCTTCCCCGTCACGCGCAGTCCTTGCCCCGTGTTAGTTGCGGCGATCCGATTTACCGAACAAAACCCGCAAACCTTACAATGTTCTCAGTGCTTCTTCTAATGGCTTCTCGGTCTTACATTCACCAAAGTCGCGTAGTAGGTGCTCGATTTTTTTATTAACTTGTCTTTATTTTTCTCTGGTTCGCAAGGTATCGATTTCCAAAACTATCCCAATTGTTTCCCACGGACCCTTTGAACATTCCATCGCAAAAGTAATGGATAACACTAAAAGTACATATAAACAAGTCCCTTCCCTCACGTCTCTCCTGTTTGCACCCTCTTCCCAATTCGACACCCCTTTCCTCCCTTTTGGCCTTTCTTCCTCGCCAGATACCATGTCAAAGGCATGAACCAGTCTAGGCATAGGCGTGTCAAAACAGAGAAATCGTCGACTGCGTACTGTTACAGGAAATGTTTTATTTTCCGGCGCCGCGAGGCAAGAGCAGCACAAGCAAGGGGCAAAAAACCACCAGGCAATGGCTGCCCCGGAAACCGACCGAGCCTATCGTGTACTAGGCATCGTGGTCGAATCTTTGGTCTCGTTCCCAACATCATTATCGCCCTTCGCTTCATCTGTTTCCTCGTCTTTCCTTTCGTCCTTCTCAATCGTCAAAGAGCCGTCGATGTTCGGATACCGTAAAATGATTCCCAGGTTCCTACCTCCCCCTGATCCATCTGCTCCGGTTGATATGCTTTCATCGCATCGTGCCACTGAAGTGGGCCTCGTTCCGACCAGGTCAACACATGAACACCTTTCCCGTGAAAAGGAAGCGAGGAAAAAGAAATATGAAAGAGAGAATATTGAATAAGACAGCAGACCGCCGCCATGCCGAGCCGAGCTCCGGGAAAAAAAGACCTAAACCGCCAAAAACCAAGAAAAAGAGAAGCCCAAGCCAGACCGAAGAACGTACGAAGACGAGAAAAAAAAGTTATTAACTCGAAAGCAACATGAAGGGGCCCCTTCCAATGATACCCAGAAAACATGAATCGATATGCGCGATTTCGACGTCGATGGGGTAAACCGTATGTCCTTGACAAAGAAAAAAATGGTGCCTATAGGGAAAAGGGCCACGATACATCGTTGAGGTGGCTATCGAAGCGGCGACAGAGCTCTAGGAGCCCAAGGTGCATTCAGGACGCAGGCATCTCGCGTCCTGCGCCCTGTCCATCGGCACAATGGCGATTATGCGGCAACATAAGCGTGTGCCGGAAGAGTGGTTGCCGGGCAAAAGTATGGAAAAGCCAGACGCAAAAAAAGACAAATTACCACCAATGATTGTATGCTTTTGGGGTTTGGTTTGATCCTGTTATGTTTCTTTTTTTTTTCTCCTTCCCTTTCCTTTTTTTCCTGATTGGACTGTCAAAACCAAAGGCCGTGTGACAGGTTATGGGTGCCGCTTGTGGGTGTCCGAGGCCACCCGAGGGGGGTGTAGGAATTGCGCGCTCTTTTAACAATCGACAGCTCGGTACTGTGGAGCCCGTGTGGTATCTCCTTCTCTCTCTCGCTGAACGTTGTGGGGGAATCTGAAAATCAAATCGCCGTCATAATTTCCGGTGGTGGTACAGTCGGTGACCCAAGGTGGGACACCGATGGGAAATAATGGATGAGTTTTTTTTTTTTGCCTGGGAGGTTTCGGCCGTTGGGTGAGCCACCGCCGAGCGGCGGCGCGCCGGGTTGTTTACAAATTCTCGATTCGGGCGGAGGGGAGCTGCATCGAAGGGTCCTCGAACTCGATCTTGGGGCCTCCCCAAGGATCGTACACACCCGAGCCGTAGGTCGGGAGCTGGCCGATGGTGGCGACCTCGACGGGTGCCTGATACGGCACGTTGTTCCAGTATTCTTCGGGCTGGGCCTGGGGCGTCGGTGAGGTGTACTGGCTTACGTGCTGCTGGGGCGGGGGCTGCGGTGCCTGCGTCGGTATCGGTTGGGGAGTGTGGATCTGCTGTTGCATCTGCTGGTGCTGGTACGCGACCATACCCGGTTGCTGCTGCTGCTGCTCGATGACGGGGGAGGCATGATGCAGGGCATATGTGGCTGCTTGGGTTGGCTGGTGAGTATAAAACCCTTCCTGGGTGGATGGGCTCCTACCCGATGCTGCCGAGAAGCTGCTCGGGCTGCTTTGGATGGACTGGTTCATACCAGGTGCAGAGTACGGAATGTCCACCTGCTGCTGTTGCTGCCGGGGCACTTGTGCGTACATGTTGGTGTTCATGGTAGCGACACCCGGGTTGCCCTGCTCCGTCACGAAGTACGGGGGCTGAGGCATGCTGGCGGTTCGCTGCAGCATGACCGCGGGGTGCTGCTGCTCGTGGAACTCGTGGGGGCCGCCGGACAGGCTGTGGCGATGCGCGCCATACTGCTGTTGCTGCTGCTGCTGCTGCATCTGGTATCCGTTCATGTGCTGGGTGTAGTCGTTGAAGGATGCTGCTCGGCTCATGGCGTGGCCCATAGCCGGGTGGTTCATGGCCATGACGCCCTGGTGGTGAGGGGGCCACTGCATGTTGGCGTGCTTCGGGGTCGAGGGCGACTCGCCGCTGTCCGAGTCTGATGTGCAGTCATCCAGGATGTCGCCGCCGTTGTGCATGCCGCGTTGGTGAGAACGCCTTTGGTGCTTGACCATGGTGGTCTTGCGGCAGAAGCTACTCAGTCTGGTTAGTTCCAGGCGCTCACGGGCGAAGGAAAAGGTCGGTGGGCTCGAAATCTACCTCTTGAGGCAACCGTCGTGGGCGCACTTGTAAGGGCGTTTGCCAGTGTGGATGCGGCGATGCCTGGCCAGACTCGAAGACTGCTGAAGTCAGTACGTGCCAGCGCACAATGAGAAGGGGAGACGTGGTCGTACATCAGAGAACCGCTTCCCGCAGCCGATATGCTGGCACTGGTGAGGCTTCTCTCCCGTGTGGGTCCGGATGTGGACAGTGAGAGCACTCCGTTGGATGAAGCTCTTGCCACAGCCGGGTGTCGTGCAGGAGTAGGGGCGCTCATTGGTGTGGATGCGGTAATGTCTCTGCAAGTCCGACTTTCTGTTGAAGCTCTACAGGATGTCAAGGTTAGACCCGCGCAGACGGCAACAGCGGCATGGCGTCAAGCGACGGCGAGGACTGTGGCAACTCACCTTGTTGCACGATTGCCAGTCGCACTGGAAGGGGCGAGCGGTAGGCTCGTTCTCGACAAGTTCCATGAGTTCCATTTCTTTGGGTGTTGTGTGTGGGTAGATGAGTACGTGTTGGCCGAATTACCAAGAAACGGACTGGTGCAGGAGCTGTACTACTTATAGTCTTGTGGTGGAAGATATTAGGAGGAAGTCTTGATTAAGTGGGTGATAAAAGGGGCGGGTTGATGTAGTGACCCCCGGAGCAGAAGAAGCAAGCGTGGCACGGGTGGATGTTCGTATATTATGGCACCCCGGTTCGGAACGTTG